TTCAGGAGATGATTGCACACACACATACAGTGTCAATGTACAAGCACTCAACAGGGTGTATCTGGAATCAGGGAGCCCAAAAACCACCTGTCCAGAGACCTCTGGCTGCAGAAGAGTCTTCTGTTTTCTCTCTCTTACTCAGAAAAAGACTTGTGCTCCCTACAACCAAACCCCATCATCTCTCTTTTACATTAAATCTATTGAGATGGCTTTTTTTTAAATGGCCAGTTATTAATTACCTGGGACTTCATTTCAGCTGGAAGGCTTAACTTTAAGTGGCAAAGGAATTTTTTGCTTTCACTACATTCATTTTCCATCTTTCACATAGTAGCAGTCACACAGCCATAATCTCCAGAAGCATCAGAAAACATTTATCCAAGCCACGCATTATGTGACCCATTAAGTACATCATTTAAATCTTTCTCTTTTAGACCCTGTAACCTATATGAAAAACTGTTGCAGGTGCTGTACATCTAAACAAGAAAACAATACAACTTACAATCAGCAATGTATTAAAATACTAAATCCTTTATGAATAGATATAATAAAATGTAACCTCAAAAAGACTCTAATAATACCACCTTTTAACTATAAATTAAGCATTTATAAAGCTACAGCCTTCTGAAGAGACATTTGGTAAAAGACAGGCCTCATTAGCTATTGTACCTGTAACAGAAAACAATTAGGAAGTCAAAAATTTAAGGGAGGCTGTTCTGACATTACAGTGTGAATGGGAAACCAGAACCCTTGAATTTTGCTTCAGACTTTTGTCACTGACTTATTTTTGGCTGTGTAGAATAACACTGTGTGCATTTAACTTTCATAGGCCTCATTAGCTGCTTGTTTATAAATGGAAAAAAAAATCACTACTTTTTGCAAGGGTACTGACAGCCTTACTAATTGCAATACCATTTTGAGATCAAAAGTACCACATATAAGTACAAAACAAACTATTTCATAAAAGCATTAATTAATCTTCAAGATTTGGTTGCAACTTACTTAATTCCCAGTCCATCCTTATTTCTGAAGATAAGTGGAACTCTGAGGGCTTCTCTTTGCACATACTCAAAAGTAAAATCTGTTTGGGTAAGAAAAACAAGATCAATTAGAAAGGCACTGGCACCTCATCTTCCGTTTTCTCCATTTTCTTTCCATTTTCCTCTCTTCACCAAAAAGCTCTCACTGTCACTTGGGCAAAAATATAAAGGGCCGCATATTTTAGGTCCCAACCGGAAACTCCCTGACAGACAGGGCTCTCCCAGGCACTCGCTATTTTTCCTGTTCACTGATGCACATAAACCAGAATCCAGGCAGAGTTTGTCAATTAAGGCCTGGGCTGAGACATGGAGTTGTCATGAAATATCAAGTTAAGAGTTAAAAGATAATTCTAACTAAACCACTGGAAAGTGGGCTGCTACTGTTGGGTTAATAGGGTAAGGTATACATTTCTAATTAGAGAGGGGAGGAAGAAAAAAAAAAAGTTTTCTTGTGAGCATTATTTGAATATAACCCAATGCCCCGATTCTTTGAACTTTTTTCTTTCTTTTTTTTTTTTTTTGATGTGAATGATCCCATTACTCTCAATAGATTACATTCTTTTTGTAATTAATCAGAAGCCTAACTCTGCAGGAGCTGATATGTAGAAATCCTACACAATTTCTGGCACATATGAAGAATGGCAAAAAGGAAAGAGTTGGTGTGCTATATTGTGACTTGCACAAAATTAAAAAAAAAAGAAATAAAAAGAAAAAAGAGGGATCATGAAGTTTGTTATTTTAGCACAAACCAGAATCATCCTATTGCTACGTTTTGCAGCTGTCGCACGTGGGCCTTTCCTGTGCATTTCTAAATGCAGAGCTTTGATCAACATCAGGGATTGGGGCCTGCAGCAGCAGTTAGGAAGCAGCCACGTGGGTGAGAGGTGCCTCCCAAGGTCTCCCAGCCCCTTTGGGTCACTCTGACACAGAGGGCAAACAAAATCTTACAGTGCCCGCGCAGAGTCTCTGGGGGTTCTGCGATGCCTCCTTTCTTACAGGAGAACCAATGCTGTAAACCCTCCATGCATTACAAATGGCCAAGTGCCTTAACATGAAAAACACTGTTCGACTCTTCAGTGATCACGCTGCAGTGCTCACAAATAAACTCTACACCTTACGTACTATATTTTTGTATGCGCAATCAGTTTAACTTCTCCAAAATTCAGTCACCAAGGCCCATCTTTCCCATGAATCTCCCTATACAGACCTCCATCTCTGGTATTTCTCACTATAAAAACTCATACTGGAAGAAGTTAAAAAAAAGGCAACTATGCTCCTGGGCCTAGGCCTGTATTTTCCCCTCTCTCTTTACAGCTTTTCCCTCACTGTATTCAGTTAGCAATTAAGACTGCTACAGATATAATATTACTCCCTAGACTTACCAAATCAGAGAACAGTAATTATCAATTTACTGAAACATTGAAAATGCACTTAACTTTAGAACAGTACCAATAAAGTTTCTATAATTAATACTCTGGTTAACTAAGGCTACCAAACAAGTTCTTCTGTATTAGAGAAATCTTCCTTCCCCACATGAATTCATATTAAAAGAGTTCTGGCTTTAGTTAAGCAAGTAAATAAACCACAGATTTCCCCCTTCATTTATTATTATTACTTTTTTTAAAAAAAAGGACACTGTCATCCAAGACAGAGCAAACAGATAATGCAGTTCAAGAACAACATCAGTAGAAACAGCAGTGACAGAAACACAGCCCAGCAAACTAGGGAACAAGTAGCTATGACAAGCTGCATTCAAGCCAAAAAAAAAAAAAAAAAATCACATCACAGCTTTACAGCACCTCTGAGGAAACCTCCAGCCCACATTCCTGGCCAATATACATATATATCAAAGAGGAATTAACATTAAAAATAAAAACAAGGACATGGAATAAATAAATAAATAAATCACTCAACCAATTCCATGTGTTCATATAACCTGACTTTTTCATCCTTCCTAAACGCTGTCATTGTTTTGCCTAGACTCAATTCCAACTTTTGGATTTATAGAGAAAATAAACCAATAGCAAAAATAAGAACAGAGCAAATAAGGAGACAGGCCCTTTCTTTATAATGGCCCAACAAAGCACTTAAATCCCTTGTGGGGGTGAACAAAGCAGACACAGACCACAACAAAATAACAAAAGGCACTCATTTATTTTCAAGTTCCCAGAAAGGAGAAAGCTACCAAAAGATTTTAGAGCTGCTGAGCCAGGAAAACTGTGACTTGTACTATAGTTAGCATGTAGCACTGGCAACCACCAGAGTATGGCGAAGAGGAGGGTAAAATGCAACCCTTTTCTGGAAAAAATAGTTAACATTTAGAGCTAAAAATGAATAAATAGGTGTTTGTGTTTTGTTTGGAGGAAAAGGGGTCAGGGTTGAGCTTATCTCCCGAACAAATAACTTCCTAAATAAGATAGGTATTTAAATGCTCCACCACGTTATCTTTTCTAAGAGAAGCTTAAAATGCTCATGCCAAACCAAGCCTAGGGAGAAAAAATAAATAAAAGGAAATACTCTAAACTAGATTAGCAGTTCTACAGCTATGACCATTTCATGAGGATTAGAGCCAAACTAGCGAGCTGGCTCACGCAGCCCTCGGGAGGGTGGATCCTGAAGGAAAAGGATCGGTGTCCCAGTAAGAGGAAGGTGACTCGGTAAATGCAGGTGACTGCAGTAAACGCAGGTGACTCGCCAGGCTGCCCGTGCCCCGGGGCTGTCCCCGTCTGTCCCCGTCCCGGTCGGGGCTCGCGCCCCGGGGCTGTGCTCGCTGCCTCTGCTGCGAAATTTCAGTCCCCTGTGCAAACCGGGGGCTGCAGGGCGGATAGGGGGACGCGCAACTTAACCGGCGACAGAAACACAAAGCACTTATTGACTTTAAAGCCCGCGAGCCGGGAGAACAGGCTCATCCATTGCATCCTTTGGAAAAGCTCCTGGATTCAGCAGGGGGTGGGGGGGAAAGGAATCCCCTGGGGCTACGTGGGGGCTGGGGCTCCTGCCTCCTTGGCGAGATCCCTGAGCACCCCCCGGGCCGCCCTTTACCTTTCCCGTCCATGGCACGCACGAAATCCCCGCGATACGTTTTACTCTTTAATTTCTCCTCCAAATTGAAACTCCTGATGCTGACGATTTCCTCCACATCCGAGAGGTCCTCGTTCTCGTCGTAGCGCCTTCTGCCAATAGCTCGCTAGAAAAGAAAAATACACGGGACAGAGACGGGGGGGTTGGCGGGGAGCAAATCGTGTGCTGATAAGTAGAACCTGGCAGGAATCATTAAGCCGGCAAGGCGCAAAATTAACAAAACCTGAACCGAAACGGGCAACGCAGCTGCACGCACAACCTTTTCCATCCCGTGCCCCTCAGTTACACACGAATAACAGGTGTTTGGCTGCAGGGAAACTAAAACTTGGGCTGTTGCTTGGAGGGGGGAGCGCGCGCGCAG